ATTTGAGCTAAATAATGATTGGACTCAACTTGGTAAGTTAATTGCCAAGGACGGATAATAATCTCGTAAGTTTTTGAAGACGAGAGAAAAGACTGGATGCGAGTTAGGTTGAGGAGGGGGATAGAGGAGCGTAGGTGCGATTCCAGTATTAATCTACAGGAGAAGCAATCAATCATACCTAGAGGATTCAGCATTATATTTTTTGGGATGATTTGACAGTTCGAGAAACCCAATACAGTTTACATACCGTATATTCAGCAAAATAGACCGCAAAGAGGGGAAGCATATATGGAATTAATAAAGGCTTCGCGAGTCGAAGTTTCTCGGCGAATGTCAGTTCAGGAGACTTGACTGAGAGTGCGGGGAGCTCGGTGGACAGTCCTGTTTGATCTGTCTCGGGTACAACCGCATACCCTCCGCGAGCCTCGATCGTCACAGGTGGCAATAGACTCGGAGGCGGTAAGAGAAAAAAGTAGGTAAACGAAAGACAGATTGGTAAGACCTGTCCTTAGAGGGTTGGGTTAATTCAACCATGTCTTTCTAATCTGAAAAGATCTATCAAATAGAGAGAGAGGATACGTGTAAGACTCAACTGAGCTCAAGCCAAGGCCGATCTGGACGCCCAAATGTCGTAAGAGCCACCAGAGAGCTGCGCCGAATACACCCGCTGCGCCGGTCCCTGAAGCAAACCAGCTTACGCCAGGTTGGCCTTGATACCTCGTTGTGAGTTGTAAGAAAGTCATTTCGCCTAAGCCCGAGGATAAACTGGCCAGGAAGATCCCAAAAAGTCTCAATGGTACTGAAGAGAATATCACGATCACCTGGGATCGAAAAACCCGTCCCATGTCAATTTTGACGGAATTGAAAACAAACAAGAAAACCGGCTGGTAAATGAAACCTTGAAAGGACATACCATCATTCCCGCAAAGCTTAGGGCGGAACAGCTCAGGATTCTTCGTGCATAACGGATTTGGCCTTTGACAAAATAGGGCCAGCCAATCTTGACCAACAGCGATGGTGTGATATCTGCGACGAGGATGACACCGGTGGGTACATCTGAAGGGACAAGATCCAATGCGGCGGAGATGATGATGACGTAGAGGACATTATTCCTAAATTCCATTCCAGAGATTCATTAGTTTAATCTGTGGCTAAACATTTTCCAGTTATAAGAAGGACTTACAATAGACCAAATAGAAACAACGATAAACAGAACCTAAAGTTAGAGGACTTGTCCAGAATGGCAGCTAGTTCAATATCAGATGATCCTTCGAGAGTAGTACAAGTCGTCGTTGTGGCTGGTGCGATGACCAGGGGTGCTTGTGGAGGTTGTTCTGAGTCTGAGTCTGAGTCCTCTGACCGTGGTGTGGAATGGGCTGGATGGCTGGTCAGCTCTCTTGAGTATTGATGAATCGGCGATAGTTTGTATGCCATCGTCGTCTTGTCGTGCTGCTGTTGAGACTGCTCATCAAGCCTTCTTCCTCTGTCTGGTCAGTCTCGATATTTCTTTTTGGTGGTTGTCCTTGGATTGGCGGTGGTGTTCTGTTGGGGTCAGGCTCGATCTCTCGGGGATCCCCGCTTTCATAAACCCCCGGGAGTTCAGCTTGCGGGGGATTTCCGACTGTCGAACTTCTTCCTTTTTTTTTTCTTCGGCTTGGTACATAACCACAACTCCTTCTCGTCGAATACATACCGCATACATTTACTTATACCGCCTACGCCATGGTCGCAGTCAAACGCAAAGTTCTCGATGTCATAGCCGACCCAGCTCCTGCCTCTTCATCCAACTCGCTGCACTCTAACTCACTCGATCGACGGACAAAAGCGATCCGAAGTTGCAGTAACTGGAATAGTGCTTTGCTCCACGGTAGACGGACTAGGGTGAGTCCAATAGGTTTTTTTTCTGTCTGATTTCTAGCTTCTCTAACTGATCATCCCAATTTTTTTTTAATTTTTCAGGGACCTCAATGGGATTATGCAACGGCTTCCTATCATGTCTCAAAAGGATCTACGGAATACTACAAAGGTGTCACTCGGATTGAGTCGTTGGTCTTACATTGTATCTGATTTCGCTTCCTCAACCAATTAAAAATTGACTGATCATTCGTTCACCTCTCCTCCATCCTCTCTAGGGTGAATCGAACCCAACTGCCACCTCGAATCCTTCCTCGGCCCCGAATCACTACGCTCTCAATCATCTCTCAATTCCCGCCCGGCTTCCAATCTCGAGCCACCTTGAACATCCAAGTCTCTGGGCATCCCCATCAGCACCCCCATACGTTCCAACAGGATCCAGAACAATTCCAAAATCGACTCATCAGACATTCCTCCCAACACTCTCAAGGCTCAAGTCATGGCCGTCCCATGGGAAATCCAGCCCAACCCACCCCCTACTCCATCCACCCTGCTCACCTTCAACTGGCCGGAATGCCCCAACAAGCTTTTAATAACCTTCCCAACCCATCCGATCCGAAATCAGCCATGTTCACCACCCCAGGGGCTAATTACAAAGGCCACCCTATCCCACAAAATACTGGAAAATACGAAAGAGGACCCGGTTGACCTTGAGCATAAGAGCAATATTCCAAAAACAGCAGATCTGAGAATTGGACTACAGGTTCTCTCCCAAGCTCCTTACATCATACCTTCCAGCTCTGCACTAGCGCTATCGATCGTTCGACCTACACATGCGCCCCACTTTTCTCAGACATGTACAATTATACTTGATCCAACACATCCAACACTTCTTGCATTCATCCGCACCAAGTCATGAGTGCCCTCACAGTCATCATACTTACACTCGAAATATCAAGCCATAATCAATGTGCTCATGCTGGCTTCATTCCCCCCCCCCCCTGGTTGCTGCAAAGAGCGTTTGGATACTACTCGCGGTTTGCAAGCTTGGTGGGCATTTCCCAGAAGGACAAAATCGAAATATATGTACTTGTGAAACTGTTTGGAAATATTACCTGAAATGTCGCCACCCATTGAAATAATGTCTGTTCACTAAACCAACGGTGGGCCGCTACACTAACCGTAGCGGTTAGTGTAGTGTAACGCAGCGGAATCGCTGTTAGTGATTAGTGTAGCGTAGCGGAATTCCGCCACAACACCGCTAACGCTATGCGTGTGGGCCGCAAAAAAGGGCCCACTACGCTGCGCTACAGCAGTTTTTAGCGGTTTTTGGCCGCTTTTTCCGCTAAAAGCATTGTAGCGCAGCAAAAAACCGCTAAAAAACCGCTAACACTGCGGTTTTTGGATGAAAAAAAAAGTGCCGCTACGCTACACTTTTTGGGCCAGAAGCGTAGCGGCCCACCGCTGACTAAACAGATCAATACATGTAGAACTCATACATTATATCCTTTCAGTGTATGAATGGGGTACGAGTGGAGTAATACCCAGAAAATGGCTCAAAAAAAATGGGCCTTAATAAAAAAACGCGGTTTTTCCGCGTTTTGACGCGGTTTTGATGCGCCGCAGCACACGCGGTTTCCGCTTTTAGACACGGTTTTTTAATTAATTTTTTATGGGTTATTTTTTGAGTTTTTTTGAATTTTTAAAGTTGTTTCCTACAATATAAAAGGCGTAGAATTTAATGGTAAAAACCATTTTTCATAAAGATGAATTTTGATTATTAATTATTTTTTTTCACTCATTTCTCAATTAATTGTTTGCATACATGTATGTACCTTATTTTTTATGCTTTTGTGAAATTTTAAAATTATTTCCTAGGTTTCAATGTGTGTAGAATTTAATGGTGCAATCCAATTTTTTTAAAACTCAACGGTTCATTTTGAATACTGAAATTAGACCCATTTTTTCACTTAATTTTTTACAGCTTAATTCTCATCATTTTTTGACATTTTAAATTTATTTCCCACACTTTAAGACATGTAGAAAATGATGGTAACAACCATTTTTCCCCAAAATGAAAACTATACCTTGAATGCCGCATTTGACACGTTTTTTTTAATTAATTCATCACTTTTTCACTTAATTGTTTGCATACATGTGTGTACCTTATTTTCTATGCTTTTTTGAAATTTTATAGTTGTTTCCTACATTTAAAAGTGTGTCAAATTTAATGGTAACATTCAATTCCCATAAAACTCAACGGTTCATTCTGGATACTGTAATTAGTCATATTTTTCAATTGATTTTTAAGAGCTTAATTTTCATTATTTTTTGACATTTTAAATTTGTTTCCTACACTTTCAAACATGTATAAAATTATGGCAACAATGAATTTTAATCAAAATGAAAACTATATCTTGAATAATGCCTTTGACGTGTTTCCTGAATTAATTCTTACACGCTCAATTATCCTTATTTTTTGGAATTTCAAGCTCATTTCCTACACTTTTAAAGGTTTCAGAATTGATGGCTGTATCCATTTTGCATTCAAATAAAATTTGTATATGGTACAAATTATGCAAGAAACAGGGTACACTCATCTATTAAGATTGAAGCTTGTATTTTGAGTGAAATTGGACTTCACCATTCAATTCTAAACATTTGTAAATGTAGGAAATAAATTTAAAATAAAAAAAATGCTTAAAATCAGAAATGGGTCTAATTTCAGTATTCAAAATGAACCGTTGAGTTTTAAAAAAATTGGATTGCACCATTAAATTCTACACACATTGAAACCTAGGAAATATTTTCAAAATTTCACAAAAGCATAAAAAATAAGGTACATACATGTATGCAAACAATTAATTGAGAAATGAGTGAAAAAAATAATTAATAATCAAAATTCATTTTTATGAAAAATGGTTTTTACCATTAAATTCTACGCCTTTTATATTGTAGGAAACAACTTTAAAAATTCAAAAAAACTCAAAAAATAACCCATAAAAAATTAATTAAAAACCGTGTCTAAAAGCGGAAACCGCGTGTGCTGCGGCGCATCAAAACCGCGTCAAAACGCGGAAAAACCGCGTTTTTTATTAAGGCCCAAAAAAATTGGGATCGTTCAAGGATGAACCACAGGCTCTCCTCTGGAGACATTTAGCTCTTGGGGCCCTGATGCATACATACCGTGCTAGCAATTGAAGACCCCTCGGCTCTAGAATTCTCCCCAAGACTGCTGAATCTCATCTGTTGTGTCTGTTATCCGTATCCAATGAAGAGTCGTCTCTTGACTCCTACACTTTTCTTCAGTTTACTGTAGATTGCAGCCAAAAGAATATTGTGGAAACAAAATCTTGATCCTAAGATTATCAACGGGGGTTTGTCTTTGTGAGCTAAGGATAGGGTGGACATTCATTCATCAAATAGATAAATGATAAAAATACGTTGATCTTGTCTTGTAAAGTACTGTAGTCCGCTTGATTTAAATAGTAGATCCTAAAAGGAGAAAGCAACAAGGATGAAGCAAGGGGCTGGAAAAAAGACAGAGAAAGAGACAACAGTAAGGCCGAAAGTCGATTTGCAAGTTGTGGCGGATAGTTTTGGATCGATTTGTGCCGATGAGCGAGCTCAAATTCTTTGACACTTGTGGCAGTAGAAACCGCCCGTCTCGTTGATTGCAATCACTCTACAAAAGAGGAAAAACACCAAAATTTTAGTAGGAGGTATCTTAGCTTGCACTTAAAATTTACGAGGCACTTGAGAAGACTCTGTAAGACAAGCCAAAAAAAAACTCACGACTCTTGCCACAAGTTTTTTTTAGCAGCATTTTGGCGGTTCGGGATGATCAGGTGGGGGCGGTGCCGGGTCCTCGGGTGTGGCTTCTCCGGTTGGGTGTGCTGGATCCTGAGGGGGAGATGGCAAAGCAACTATTGTTGCTCCTAGGATTAAGAAGCTGAGAAGGATTTTCGCAATTATCTGCATTTTTTCTTTTGTTAAACTTGGTTGAGAGGTGGATTGTAAATGAATTTGTAGAGTGACTCGCTTTCGAACAACATGGGTTGTTTGTCTGTGTACGTGTTCTTATATACTCTGCTAGAATATGCTTCCCTATCTCAAATGTGGAGCATTTCCAGGCGTCTTCAAAGCACCTGCTTCAAAGCGCCTGGGTTGGCCGCCTTGAATGCGTCTCAAGCCAATTGAACAGGAGACGCCTTCAAGGCGCCCAGAAGTGTTCGGCTTCAAGGCAACTTGGAGGTGTCTGGCTAGCCGCCTCCAAAGTCTATGTATTCAGACTGGGTCTGTCCAGATCGGCACCCCTATATGGCCAGATGATTCATATCCTTGAGGCAAATTGTTGTAAAATTTCAAGGAGTGAGTGGAGGACTTCCCGTCGGATCTGGGACCCTCGCAGAAGTCGATCTAGACCCGAAAACTCTTAATTCTCGCAGAGGAATTTGAATTTCAAGGCTCTAAACTGACTCTGGGAGACCCGCAGATGTTGACAGGAAGTCCTCCAGTGACAGATCAGAAAAGAAAGTTTGATGATCAATAGGAAAAACAACTAACATGAAAAAAAAGAAAACAAAGAAATGGAAGTTGTACTACTGAGCAATAGCAGGGTTCATGATTGAGCTTTTGAATGCTCCTTTTGCTAAATATGTAAAGTTTCTTGTTTGTTTGCAGCTTGGATGTTGGATTTTCCTTGTGGCAAGTGTGTTTAGAACTGTTTTCAAGTTTCACAGCAGGTCATGCGGCTGCTGGCTTGGAATAAGTTTTATGAGAACTGTCAATCATGAACCCCGCTAATGGCAAAAAGAAAATGGACAGAAACATTAGTGGGGACTTTCATGATTGAGCTTTTGAATGCTTGTTTAAATTTTGTTAAAAAACATTCTTGTTTCATTTGTTTGCAGCTTGGATTTCAGATTTTGCTTGTGGCAAGTGTGTTTTTAACTATTTTTGAGCTTTGCAGCATTCAATAGAGCAAGCTTAACTAGGCCTCCAAATTGGGAGTGGCAACACTGGGCCGCTACACCCAACACTGGGAAGTTACATACATTACGATATCCGAAGGGATTTTCGTAACGTAACTTCCCAGCTGTCCAGATAACGCCGTTAGCGTTATCCAGACAGAATGGATTTTTGGGTCATGAGTAACGTAACAAAGGGGGTTTCTCCCCTTGTTACCCAGAACAATCACACAAATCAGAAGTTATCTGCGTTATTGACCTAGTTATTCATTTGTTAATCCACCTTTTTGCACTGTGGATAACGTAACGACAAAAAAAAATAAGAAAAATTAAAAAGTAAAACATAACAGAAAGGCCGTTGCGATTATTGCAACGCTAACAGCCCTAACTTCGTTGCGTTATTGTTACGCTACCGTTACTTGTAGTGTAACCTCCCAGTGTTGCTACACCACGGGGCCACTTTTTCTTATTGGGACCATTTGCACAACGGTTCCCCTTTTTGACCAGCTCTTCAACTGGATAAATGTCACAAAACTGTTGGATAAACTAAACCATTTGAGAATTGGTGGTTTGAACAGTTGTTCAACTGGTTTCCTGTGAACCGGTTTGACAAACCACAGCACTGAACCAATGTACTAATGGTTGTTATGGCCCACTGTTAGGCTTCCGCTTTGTTGACCAGTGACCAACTATTTAATTTTTTTTTTCGATCCTCTGAGAACCTGATGAAAAACAGGAATTATAACTGAAGCTAGAACTAGAACTTTAAAGATAGAAGAAAAAACAAGTGTTAGGGTTTTTGACAATGATAAAGAAGATTCAAAGAAGGACAATCAAATGATAAGAAATAAGAAAAGAAATTTACCATGAGATGGTTTGTCTTTTGAGTTAGACAGAACAGAAAGACTAAAGTAAATGAGATCAAACAGCAATAGATAATAAACACTGGTTTCAAACAAGAAAAGAAATAGAAAGGTTAATATTTTTGGTCAGAAGAAGTTAAGTTGAAATTTGGTTAGGTTTTCTCACCAAATTGGCAATCGCCAAATGAGGAATTCAAGAGAGTGTATTGGTGGAGCAAGGAGGAGAGGAGGAGGAAGTGATGTTGAGAAGAGATGAATTTGTTGTCAATATGATTGAGCAAGAAGGGATAGAAGCAAGAGAAAATATAGGATAAGAGAAGAAAAGAATCAAAGTCGGAGAATGATGATGAAGGGAATGATGTGGCGTGTGAGTGATGGAGAGCGTTGTTGAAGATGGGCCAAGCAGTTGAGGCAAGGGGAATAGTTTTGTGTGAGGAGAGAAGTGATTGATTGTGGATCTGATGTCAGAGACTGCTGAGGAAAAAGGTTTTGAGACTGTTAGAGGCCTTCATTTATAGTGTTTTGTAGTTGGTTAAACTTGTGGTTGTGTTAGGTCTTGAAAGATAGGTTGTGAGGCTTTTTGACCTGTTTGGAGGAGGCAAGAGTAAAATGTATGGCAAACTGGAGACATGGCTGAGAAGAAGTGGGAAGAAGAGAAGGATTGAGGAGAGAGATAGGAGAAGATTGAGGAGAGCACAGAGAGAGAGAGAGAGAAAGAGAATGGAGTAATGATGGCCAACTGGACCCGGGTACCCGCCACGAGTCCGGGTACCCGCTGTGAATTAGGACAGATCCATAGACCCGGACTCGGACCCGGCACCTGTAGGCGGGTACCGGCGGTACCCTAGGCGGGTACCACGGGTACCGACACTATGTATTGCAGCATGACAGAAAAAAAAAATATTTTTATAATTTTGAAATAATATCAATAAAAAACAACTTGAGATTACTGTTTTTTTTTTTCCTTTTCCCTTCAAGCTTCTCTTTTTTTCCTCTTGGAGACCATCCTTCCACTTTCTGAGCACACCCGGTTCAATCAAGTTATTTTTTGAGTAAAACGCAACAGTCATTCCCCTACTGATAGAAACTGTGCTTAGACGGTGCCTCTTCTCTGATACATAGTCGCGTCCAAATGAGAAAGCCCTCTCAACATCAACCGAAGTAGCTAGATTGAATAGAATCATAAAATCAACCTTAATCAATGAACAATTTCATCGTCTCGATTACAAGTTACTTACCTGGGCAACTCAATACATCAAGAGCCATTTGCAATAGCCCTCCATGTGTATTTCCAGCGCGTTTTTGTTGGATCCACCACTTAAGGGCATTGATAGGAGATCCATCGTCTAAAATGAGGCCGGAAGCTAGCCAGTTATCAAGTGGATCATTTGAAGACAGACCCGATTGGGCGGCCAATGCAAGCTGAGCAATATTTCCTGTCTTAGGCTGAGCAAATTTGGATGTGAGTTAATTAACAAGTCATCTATTTTTTTTCTCCAATGCAAGCTCACCTTGGTTGATCTCGCTGGTTGACTGGAAGGTAGAACTTCAATATGAGGCTTGTAGAATGTATCAAACATTTCGCGCGTCAGACGAAGGGCTTCAGTAATCCACTCGGTTTCCCAGCCAGCAATCTGGAAGTACTTTTCTTTGAAAGATGGGTGGAGTACTTTTCATATAAATTTTTCCAGAGAGAAGATGGTTAGCGGTGCAAGATGGAATTGAGCGAGGAGAATGAGAACAGTACCCATTGCAATCCGATATAAAGGCGAGCAGTCGGTGAGTGTGTAATACTTGTTTGTGAGCTGGAGACCAATTCGACATGCATTTCGGATTACGGGTGGGTAGTTGTTGCCATCTCCTTTGATTGCACTCGAAAGATGTTCGGTGATCTCATCGATAAAGACAATGATATGTGTCAAGCGAGCCGATCCAAGAGTTGATACTTGAAGTGTTTGTTCGTAGAACAACTGTAGTATAGAAAGCAAGTCCTGAGCCAACTTGATGTCGATCTTGTTTATGTGGTGTCTCCGAGCGAGCCCATACTTCTTGTCCTTCTGCCAAATAAAACTGCCATGCATAGATCTATCAGTTCCTATTTTAAATCAAACCTATATTGGAGGATTGACCCACATTGCTTTCTCACATCGTATGATTCCTTCAAGCTGCGTGAAGGTAGAGTTCCATCGTGTCCGTACGTCTCTCATGATGTTGTGAGGTTTACTGCACTCGGTTTCTATGCATAGTTCCACAAAATGTGCCTTTGAGTTTGGTGATTTGCGAAGCTTGCGAGCTACAGCACGGAACTAGTATAAAAAACAATCAGAATCAAACAGTTAGAAAATTGAATAAGTTGCGAGGAGAAGTTGTAGTACCTTAGGCAAACTTTGTTTGCATGAAAGCGAAGTGTAAGAATCCTTCTCTTCATCCTCGTCACTCAAATCCTTGATGTCCTCGGTAGATAATTCGGTATCGGAAATTTCAGCAATTCCGTCGTCCTCTGATTCATAACCGTCCAGATCAGCTTCTTCACCAGTGTCGGAATGGTCTTTATCGTATCTAAGTTTCAAATAAAGAAAGATCGATCAAGCGGTGATTCAATTAAATAAGTATTGGAAGCACTTGCCTACGGATCTGAACCTCGGCTTCCTCATCTTCTGATCCCTCGTCCGATTCCATGTTCGATTCCAGGCTGCCTTTCTTGTTAAAGGGTCGCAATATGGACTGGACAATCAAATTCAGGATGTGTGCAAAACACCTGATCCACTGTGAATCGCCTTTGAATCGAGCCCATTTGAACTTTTTCATCTCGGCCACCATTGTCATGTTGTTGGAGGCATTGTCAGTAACTATTCCACAAATCTGATTGAAAACATGCAATTTCAGCTTGTGTAAATGTAGCAAGATAGGGAGACTTTATCGTACTTTATCTTGAACATCAAACTTCTCCACAACCAAGCGCAACGTTTCAGCAAGATACTCGCCAGTGTGACTCCTTGCCAGCCAAACAAAGTCCAGTGGCATGGCCTCCAGCT